GTTCAGCAGATGGCTCAAGTATTAGATGTTGGAGAGTCATAATACAGCAAACGCTGAGAATTTTCAGAGGCCCCTGCCTGCAACTGTTCACACCTTTCTTTCTTGTTGATATAGGAATTTGTTTTGTGCAAGGCAGCAGAAGGAGTCTCTGGGTGCCATATGACCTACCATCTTTCCTGGGGCTAGTACCAAACACTCACCCAGCAGTGACCCCACAATAGCAGATGAGATGCCTTGATGAGCTGCCTGCATCTGCTCTCCATTCTGACTGCACAAGAAGTTGCATGGATCTGGATTCTGCAAACAGTGTGACAAATACTGATTAAAACATGCAAGACATGTGAATAATATATTAGTGAAAGGCTGGCAATGACTGCATCCACACATCACATATCACTCCATTAGGAGTCCACTCCTCTAGCTAGTTCACAGGTCCAATACAGAGGAGCTCTGAGGCTGAACCTTTCAAATCCCTGATGCGACTTAGGTTTCTGTTTTGGGGTGGTTTTGTGCTATAAAGCAGGATTCAGACAGAATCCAACGCACAATAATGCATTTCCCACCAAAGTGTCGCACAAGGTAAATGTAGCAGAACCTTTTTCAACCCAATGTGCAAATGACATGATCTGAGAGTCACATACTGGTATGCCTCTTTCTCCGTCCACAGATTACTATGACATGTCATTATTACAGTGGTTTAGCGCAGCCTTTCCCATACTTAGGATTATGAACCCACTTCTGTTGGGTTGCATAGCAATGCTATAATATGTGAATTCATTTTCCATATCAAAATGGAAGAACAGTGCTCACGTCTGTTCAGCTCAGATACTGTGTACAAGGTACCCCCCCAACCTGATCTCAGCAGGACAGATGGAAAATCCCTGGTGCAGAAAAAAGAAAACGGACTTGTGGGCTGACGCTAAGTGCTCAAAGTAGCTAACGAACCACAGACTATGAACAGCTGCTGCATGTGATGACGAGCAAAGTAACAAAGAGGCAGAAGCATCAGACAAATGAGTCACAGGGAGGATCAGTGCTGCTGTGGAGTTGCCTGAGCCACCGCTTGTCTAATCAGTCCTAGCTAAGTGGCTACTGAGTGTGGTCAATGCAGAAACGATTAAAGCAGTCAGATGTTAATGTTAGCATTAAATGTCTGCAAAGAAAGAGCAAAAATTGATTGTTTGACTGTAAATGGGTCAAATAAATAGGAAAATGTGTCCTCTCCCTTTAATAAAATAATGAGACTGGGATGCTAATTCTCTCTCAGTATATTTCCTATAGAGCACTCATCAATTTTTTTATTCTGGTATAACGACTGGTCGGTGGCCCAGCAGTGAAAAGTCTGTTAAATACTGACTATAGCATGTAAACACACTGAAAGAGAAAGACAGAGGAGGAACCAGCACAGATTCTACATTCTGTTACTGTGGGACTGAGGTAAAGTACAGCCCTGTGTATCAGCGCATGTGGTCAGGTTGGACTACTCTGCTAAAGTTACTTACTGCTGCATCACATGAAATAAAATGAAAAGCTACTATGTTGCATAAAATGCCACACATGGAGCTGCTTATGTTAAGGCTGGACTATTCGTTCTGAACGTAACGAATATAACATTATGATAGATGCTGTTGTCAACCAGTTGGTTTCATACTAGTTCATTTTAAGGTGGTGAGAATTTTTACATTACTCTCGGCAATTTCATTACTGCTGTGATGTACTTTTATAATAAAATAAATAAATTTCATCTAGGCTACATTTTAAATTCAGGGTTTGTTGTGTTCGTTGCTGGCAGTTTACAAATGCAGGTGTCATAGCAATATGTGATGCATTTTTGGAAGTGTGGGTCCAGATTTCACTTTTGGGTCTGGAGCTGAAAAAGTCTGGGAACCCCTGGTTAGTGTCTGATCGCTGGCTGTGTGCAGCCCAGTTCACTCACCCCGACCTCCCTAAACAGACTACAGAGGTTCTGCTGCTGCTCCAACATCTGGATGGCTGCCTCCTGCAGCTGCAGCTCATCTTCCTGCTTCAGCCTCTTCACCACACGACCAGCTGAGAACGCAAATGGGAAAACACATAATGCTCACAATTTAAACAGACACTGTCTCAGTGTTCTATAACACAGTTTACCAACAGCACAAATTGACCATTATTTAACCTTTACTTAACCAGAAAAACCATTGAGATTCTCTTTTTCAAGCGAGTCCTGGCCAAGACAGACAAAAACATATATACAAACAACACCCTCTCATCAGTTGTGCAAGCAAATGATATTAAAAATAAATCAAAACCTGTAAAAGGTCAGATACACTATGTACTATTATGCTGATTGTTATAAAATGTTGGCCAAATTAAACCTCGATTACATACGTGACATACATTCATGGCCAAACATTTTGGCACCTCTGCATTTCTGTCAGATAACGCACCTGTAGCAACCAACAGGTGACGGAAACATTGTCAAGACGTTTACAGCCCATGGAGCTGTAGCTAATCTCCCTGAACTGATGTTCTGTGGCTACTCTGCTGCTTCAGCCACTGGATGTATTGACTGCGTGTAGCATTATGACATCTGAAGACTACCAATGAATTCTGGGGCCCAGTGTCAGAAAGTTGGGTCTCCATCAGAGGTCATGGGTCTCACAGCAGGACAATGACCCAAAGAGGACTTCATAAAGCACCAGAAGTGGTTTCAGACAATGAGCAGGAGAGTTGTGAAGTGTCCAGCAATGAATCCAGGTCTAAATCCCATAGAGCTCCTGTGGAGAGATCTCAGATCAGCAGCTGAGAGAAGGAACCCTTCAAACCTGAGAGACCTGGAGCAGCTGGCAAAAGAAGAGTGGTCCAAAATTCCAGTAGAGAGGTGGAAGAAACTCTCTGATGGTTACAGGAAGGGACTGATTTCAGTTATTTTGTCCAAAGGGTGAGCTACCAAATATTAAGTTGGCAATGTCAGTAATTTTGTCCAGCCCATTTTTGGAGTTCTGTGTGGAATGGATCAGATTTGGCTTTTTGTGTTGTTCCAATGTAAACAAAAGAAATGAACATGAGAATAGCAAAGAATTTGTGATGCAACAGTTTTCTTGGAGAAGTGGTGCGTTATCTGACAGAAATGCAGGGGTGCCACTATTTTTGGCCATGACTGTATATAGCTTTAGTAATGTTAGATTATTCTGTTATAATAAATCTAAATGGAGATTATTTGTTCATGCCTAAAGTTATGCCAAACCCCACTTTAAAATATGGAGGTTTAATATACCGACAACAAAATGTGGAGGTGGTTAACTTAACACCAGTTCGGTTGTCATTTTGGACTGTAGGGACATACTATTTAATGTGACGCTATATAATGAGTTAGCTGTCAACTCACCGAGGAGGCTGGAGAGAGTCCTTTTCTGAGAGACCGACTCACACGTTGCACTCAGCGACATTTTACTTTGGCTGAATGTTAATAAACGCTTGAAGACAAGGTCCTAAGATATTAGTGGCCCCGGAAATTAGTGTATCGACAGCGTTATTGCATCAAATAACTGTCTTCAGTTGCTTCAGCACCGTCTTGTTCATGAAAGTTATGTTCGCTTCCGTGTTTTCCCTCCCGCTCTTCTTTGTCATTGGTCCATGCTGCAGCCAATCACAATCGGCCATCCCGTGGCACAAACATAAACTATCCCGGTGTTTTACGTCCCCAGACCTGGCTTTTTGAAAGATGTTTGTTCTGAATTTTCAAGTAGTAATACATTTAACCCTATAAAAACATTTGTATCATATTTGCAACACATGTTTGAGCCGGCGTGGGTTCTCTCCGGATACTCCGGCTTCTTGCCACAGTCCAAAGACATGGAGTTTGGGTTGTTTGGTGTCTCTAAATTGCCCATAGGAGTGCGTGTGCGCGCGTGTGGTTGTTCTTCTATGTGTTAGCCCTGCGATGGATTGGCGACCTGTACCCCGCCTTCGCCCGATTTCCGGCCGGGATTGGCTCCGGCCTCCCCCCGTGACCCCGTTCAAGGATTAAGCGGTAGAAAATGAATGAATGAATGTTTGAGCCAAAAAAGTTGCCCAAAATGCCCCACATATCAAATGTGATACACAAAATAAAATTCTAAATATGGCACACTTATTCCTATATGCCTGGACTGTCTATACATAAATGGCAAATTTGGGATTTTGTTAAAAGGTTTAAATATCTCAGCTCCAAAATATTAGAATGTTCTGGCTATATTTTTATTTTATATTTTTATGTTGGGCTTTACAGGGTTAAAACAATCAAATATATGCATTAATGCATTTGTGGAACAAACTGAAGCTCACAAAACTCATCAGGAATTTAAAAACAGATAAAATCACACGTTCAATTCAAAGTGTCCACAATAATCATACCACTACAATATATGATGGGATAATATGCCTGAAATGGCCACAATACGTATAACCTGTGAATTTTTACAAGCTTTTTTATTCAGTACTTATTTATTGGTGTTCAGTTCAGTTCTGAATTAAAGAACAATTGTTGAAATTGTTGAAGTGTTTGCTCTTTAAAAACAGCAGAGGGAGCAATAAAAACAACACCAGTTTTGAAACTTGACCTCAACCTTTGATGCCTTATATTGATATCACAGCAACATTTCACTGAATCTCATTGCACTGTGTTGTTTTTGTCTGTTCTTTTTGCATGATCTTGCTCATTCTTCAGTGTAAATGCTAACATAATGTTGCTGCAAAAAAGCAGCTCACTTGATCTGTAACTGTATTTAAAGAGGTTAAATAAATAAAACAGTTTCATAAATATAACAGCTTAAAAGGAATTTGGATCCTGAAAATGTATATGACATTTGAATCTTTTGGCAGTTTCATGTGTTTGATGTTTCCTATTATTTGTGATTTGTAGTTTCATGTTTCTGACAAAGCATTCTGAACCGAACAGAAACAGAGAAGTTGTGTAGACCTTTAAAACATGATCATGATCAGTTTTCTTTTTATGCCATTTTACTGTCTGAATATCTAAGCAGAAAGTCTAAGTGAAAAAATGAGTTCCCCCCCTAAATAGATCATAAATGTGTTTCAGCTACACATTATATATTAATACTCAGGGTTGGAAGAAGTGCTCAGATGCCTTACCTGTGTAAGTACAGTAATACCACAATTACCAGTCCTGCCCCTTCTCCACGGCTTCTTTTGTAACACTGTGAGCAGCTCCTCCATTTCTATTGCGTGCTACATTTTAGGACTGCAGTGTCAACAAAGACAATCTAATTATGGATTAAAGCATTACAAAGTACACTGGTACTTTATTTTGTCAGTTACTGTTTGTGAGTGTGCCACAGACTAATGCACGCAGCACTGCTATGTAGGCCTACAGTAATAAGCTTCCACCTTTTCAGGTGTGTGTGTGTGTGTGTGTGTGTGTGTGTGATGTGCAAGATTAAAGATAATATTTTAATAAGCTCCATCTCTCCTTGAACAAATATGATTTAGACTCAGGTGCAGGGTGATGTGTGAGGCGCCTTGCCAAATCACACTGGGTGACACAGCTGTAGAGCAGCAGGCTCCATCTTGTCCTCGGTGTGTTGGTGTGAAGCGCAGGCCTCTCAGTGCACACTCCCCTCAGTACACACTCCCCTCAGCAACCCATGTATTTTCTGGATTTCCCAGTTTTATTGCAGCAGGCCACAGGAAAACTATCCCATGGGAGCCGGTGAAAGGAACTCATGAAAATTTGATGCACTGTGTCCTCATGAATTTTTAAGAGCCCTGTCTTCCTAGTGTGTCAATAATGTGCAGAATAGAAATGTAAACAGGGGAGTTGATGTACAGGGCTGAGTGCAAACCTACCAGCAAGGCTGCAACTTTGAGTCAGAGCGGAATCATTAGTGAGCCACTGTCACCACAGGGCTGAGTAGGTAGGTGATTAATGTCTGATAGGCCTGGACCTCAGCAGGATTTCCTGTATAAGGTTGAGGGAACATGAAGTCACTGTCACAGCATGCAAACCTACCACAGCACATCGATCATAACAAATAATATGAAAAATACATTTAAACATATGCTGTGCTTGTCAAGGAGAAACAAACACAACATATACACTAAAAGCATAATTCTACAGCCATTTGGTGCTGTGAGACTATTAGAGATTATTTAAGGTTTACTGCACCACATTACAAAATAAATTAAATAACTCAATAGCCGTCCCTGGTAGGCTAGTGGTTAAAGTCAGGGTTGTGTCAGGAAGGGCTTCCAGCATAAAACATGTGCCAAATGTCAACATGCGAGTCATCAGTGTGACAATTCGCTGTGGCGACCCCTAAACGGGAAAAGCCGAAAGTGACTTTCATTACAAAATGAAATAACTCAGCAATGATTCAAAAAAAGTCAACATTAAGTACAGATCCAGAGGCAGAGAAATGCTTATAGAAGAGGTGAAGTTTATTTTGACAAGGGAAGTCTTACCTTTGAGAAACTACAAATGTTTGGATCCCTTCAAGCTAAACGCTGTTAACTTAATCTGCACTCCCTGACCAATCATTATTATTAAAATCTAATTAAAACACAATATACCTTATAGTGTGTGTGTGTGTGTTCTTCAGGTGGATTCAGTGAGTTCAAACTAAATAATTGTTGTACTATGACAGCACAGCAAGCGGAGTTCCTGTCCTATCAGTCAGCCACACAGTAGGACATGTGTCCGGACAGCTGACCCATGTCTCCACAGAGGTGTTGCCTAAGGGTCTCCTGAGACCGAGAGCTACCTGCCAACTGCTTGTTTAAGAAGAGGAGCTGCAGCTTCCCTTCATGTCTAAATCCTCTTGGTTTGGGATTTAGATTGGGTGACAGAAAGACATCTGAAGTTTGGTGTGAGAGTCGTGTCTACGAACATTTCAATAATTTCTGCTTTAAAACTTATAACCAGTGGTGGAAGGAGTAGTCAGAACCTTTACTTTAGTGGAAGTACCAATACCCCGGTGTAAAAATACTCTGCTACAAGTCAAAGTGCTATATCAAAACGTTACTTAAGTAAAAGTAGTATCAAAATAAAGCCTACGTACTGTGCCAAAAGTACAAGTATTCATTATTTAGAATGGTACATTACACAATAATGTATATCATACTACTGAATTATAATTATTGATGTATTATTGTGTACATCACATTAAACCTTGCATCCGGTGGAGCTAATTTTACTAATTTTTTATGCTTATAATTACAGTTCCTACTGGGCAGCTTGTGAATTTCCCACCAGTGATCAATATCAATCTGACTCTGAGCTAAAAGTATCAAATAAATGCAGCAGAGTAAACAAGACAATGTAGTAAAGTCGCAGTATGAAGTGCGACAGAAACATTCAAGTACAGATGTGTCAAAATTGTACTTAAGTACAGTGCTTGAGTAAATGTACTCAGTTACTTCCCATCACTGCTTATAATTACGGATACACCAACGACCAGGAAGAAAGATCAGGAAGTTTTAGGTTAGCATGGAAAAAGACAGAGGAAATAGTTTTATTATGAAAACCAAATATATGCAGCTGAGTGTTGTTTTCTAGTTGTGATTTTAAAAGGTTTGGAGGAAAAAAGGTTGAGATTTACAAAGAAAACTGTTGTGTATGAAAATGTAGCTAGCTTCATCTGACCGATGTATTCAGGTTTAGTTACACCCATGTAGGTCGGGGAATGAGCCTCTCCGGGACACATCTAGTGACAGAAATGAACAGTAGTCACACAAAAAGAAACCAGTTTTAATGCACAGGAAGAGGAAAGAGGTCAGGACACAGAGAGCTCCTGCTGCTCTTGTGAAAACTGCCACTCCCTCGTGAGGAACCCAGAGAAGGATTTCACCATCTCTGTGTTGAAACACACCAAAGCCGAGCGTGAGACTCTTACAGCAGACCACTCCAGCCCAGCCTGAAGGCTTCACAGCAGTGCTACATTCCTGACAGCTCACTCAAACCAGTTGTGGCCAAAGCGGCAGGTCTGAACACTCGCTTTCCATGACAACACTGCTTCAGAAAGCACGTTAAGGTCTGCCGCTGCTGACGTGGAGACAGGAGATGTCTTCACGGGTTTACGGCCACATTACATCCTTCACTTACTGGAGATGTGTGCTGTTTCTTAGGAAACACTGCAATGTGAGCATATATGGTGAATGGTGGTTGAGCTGTTCCGTTCTCTCACCATGAGCTGCAGGGCGCTGTTCAGCATAACAAGAGGAAGCTGATAAAACCCGGACCTTGTCCTCTGCAAAAATGAGCTGCTAAAATAAAGGCTTGTTGAACAGATGTGCTGCCCAGACCTTTTGCCCAGTTTGTTTGTCGTGTACTTTTCAAAAACCCCTCCCCCTTCTAACTGTTAGCTTTTGGGATAATCAGATTGTTTTGGTTGCATTTATGTTTTTCTGACACCGCACCAAAGCAAAGCACATCTGTGCTGCCTGAAGCAGAAAACATTGGTTTGAAAGTCTTTCCAGTATTCGCAGTGCTAAAATGAAAATACTGTGTACCAAAGAACCTGCCCCCTGGGGAGCAGCAGACAGTGTGTTCTGAGGACGAATTGCAGGAAAACCTTTTCTGGACAGATATTGTACTGCTGAGAGTTTCCACCTTTTTCA